CAGCCCCAGCCCCAGCCCCCTCCCCACACGGGGTGCCGCAGCGGTGAGACCCACATCAGGGGCACCGGCGGGACCCTCCGGGACATTTTCAATATCCTTGGTAAAGGAGAGCTGCTAAACTTTTAATTTTATTTCTTTTTAATGTAGCTGGAGTAATTAAGAATCCCCCATGGTTTTGGAAGGAGATTTATTGCCTTTGGTTGTGGTCCTTGGAACGCCGAGGAGCCCAGCTCCGCTGAATTTAGCCTTGTTCTCCCCGTCGTTTTGGATGCTGAAGCTTTTTACACTACTCGAAAGAAAGTTTGGCTATAAATAGACACGCGGGGTTTATTTCAGTAGGACAGTTATTTTAGGCCTGATCCTGCTCTCCCCCGGGCTTTCTGGAGCGGTCCTGAGCTGCTTGACCCAGGGAAGGGATGGAAATCCCAATTTAAAGGGATGCAAACCAGGGCTTTTTCAGCAACGCCAAGACAAGCGTTCAGCTCCGCAAGCTCAACATGACACAAAGTGGGACAACCACAGCCCCCCACCCCTGCCACAAGGTCCGGGTCCATCCCAGACCATTAAACTTCACCCACTCCAGGGCAGCTCTTCGCCTCGATCGAGGCAGCCCCACCTTCACAACAGGGAAGGAATTACACGTCCTCGCAGGTGCAACAGGTATTTAACCACCTCGGAGCTTCACGCTGGAGCCACTCGATGGCCAACAGCATTGGGGTGGAGGAGCAGGGACCTGGGGGTCCCAGCCAGCAGCTCTGCCCCCAGCAACTGCGATGGTCTCCCCATTCCACCAACGCATCACAGCAATTCCCCTTCCATCAGGATCTCTTTGACAAATAGAAATCACGCAGCGTTTCTCTCCAAGCTTCCGGGTGCAAAGGAGGAAGAGGAGGAAGAAGAGGATGGTCATGGAAATGGGGAGAAGAAGACGATGGGTGAAACCTCCGTGCAGTGAAGGACAGGACAAGCGCGTGACTGGGCTGAGCAGTGTGTACATGTGTGCGATTGCTATCTACGAGTGGTGGGAAGAGAAGAAGAAAATCCTTTTTGGCTGGGTGGGAGTGTTTAACTGGAAATTAATGCAGACTGAACAGCAGACGAGAGATCCCAGCAAAGAAAGTTGTAGGCTTTAAACCAGAAAGACCCACAACAATGGGAACGCAAGACTGGAAGGGCTCTGCTCAGTCATCACATCTCATTCCCACCAGGCACCACATCATAAATCCAGCTCATAAACGTGTCAGAAATCTTGTTAAAACAAGCTGAGCTTCTGCCCTTCGCTCTCCCGGGGAGGCCATCCCAGAACCTCCCTGCTCAGAGGTTGGAAAACCTTGAAAATCCCAGCTGAGATTGTTTTGCAGCCTGTTTGCCCCCGTTCTTAAACGTGGCAACGCCCCTTGCATTGGAACAGGCTGCCTAGGGAAGTGGTTGAGTCACCAACCCTAGAGGTACTTAAAAGATGTGTAGATGTGGTGCTGAGGGATGTGGTTTAGTGGTGGACTTGGCAGTGCTGGGTTGGACTTGATGGTCTTAAAGGTCTTTTTCAACCTAAACAATTCTATGGTTTTCCCTGGTGAGACCCCTCCACTAAACTACGTTGAAGACACACATCAGAGGAGATGATCAGAAACTGCTGCATCTGCAGTCAGGCTCAAAGACACTCAGGTATCTTTAGTCTCTCTGGGGAAGCCAGTGGGTGGCCCATCACCTGAACATCTACTGCTGAATGATAGTACAGAGAGGTATAACCTAGAAAACATTCTCCAGTGGGAACAGGAGAAGATCTCATGCCCTGCCACATCTTTGCCAGGTCTGTTGTTTAAGGTAAACAGCTTTCCAAAGACCAAGAAGCAGCTGAGAAACCCAAGACTCTTTGAACATGAAAAAAAGAGGTCCTCTCCACCATGTCCCAGGCCCAGCACCAGCTCAGTTCTACCTGGCCCACCCCAACAGTTGTGTGCCTAACCCTCCCCTTCCAGAGATGGGGACCTCAACTCAAATTCAAACAAACCGTGAGTGCCACAGATAACCCCGTACCCAGAAAACATCCTCCCAGTTTCAAACCTACGTTTCGGGTGCCAGAATTTAACACTTTGACTTCTTGTCCCAGCTGGAGGTCTGGAGAACAGATTGTGCCTTCTCCCCAGAAAGCATTTTCTATCTGTCTGAAGACTCTTAGCATGTCCCTCCTTGGGCATCTTTCTCCAGACTACACCTACCCAACAGATGCAAACTTTTGGGGTTGGTGCAGTTTCCTCATGTTGGGTCAGTCCTGCTGTCCTCCAAGACTGGCCAACCCTTACATCAGTGCTTGCCCAGCTGAACCCACCTGGTGTGAATACAAGTCACCAGTGATGTGGAGACCTACACATCTGCTCCGGGCTTTAAACCAAGGCTAAAGGAAGGAACTGGAAGGCAGCTGCAGGAGCCGTTGGGATCTCACCTACCTGGACATATTTTACAGCATTTCCCATCTACTTTCTCTGGATAGTCACATGGATAGTCCTTGGGACACGTGATCTTCTGGCAGTCCTGGACACCATCCCTGCAAGTGCAGAGGATGCAGGGCAGGAGGCCGTAGAGCCGGAAGACGGGATGCCACACCTCCCCATGGGAGTAGGTCTTCCCGTTGTAAACACAAGCTGGAGAGAGAGAAAAGAGTTGCTGGCGTCCTTTTTGTACACCCAAGGCTTGGTGGAACTCAACACATTTCACCATCTCAGAAACAGGTGGCCCTGCTGTCTTGAGGAACATGGTCCTCCAGTAGCATGTCTGGCACCAGCGGACCCAGGGAAATTGCAGCCATCTCACCCAGGAGGTGCCACGGGGCAGGAGGACCAGCTCCAGGAGATGGAGGCTGCTGGGGTCAACCACCCTGGTGGGGATAAGTGGTAAGTGTGGGCAGGACCACACCTGCCTCCAAGTCTCTGCAAGCCTAGAGTCTCTCCGAGGCTGTCACAGGCATGAAGCACAGTGAAGGGTGCCACCTGCTGACTCCTCCATGAAAAATTTTGGAGGTCCCAAAATTTCATCCAGGACTTCACCTCCAAGGACTGGAAAGAGCCCTTCTGGAAACACAGCGGTGGGAGAGCCTCCCGGAGGAGAAGGGACCTGTCTTTTCCTCTTCTTACTCTCTCCTCCAGGAGGAAGACCACAGCACTGGGGTAGACCCAGCCCACGGTGGGTAGGTGCAAGGAGGAACAACCTGTCTCTCTATGGCACTGTCCTGGAAGGACCATGTGGAGTCTTCCAGCTGAGCACCTCCCTTCCCAGGTCCCAGATCTCCAAAACACCCCAAGGACCAATCTTCTTCCAACTCTTTTTGAAAAGTAGAAGGTGCATGCAGCTAGGGGGCTGTGGGCCACCAGGGCTGAGATAGCTGGGTGAAGCTGGCTGTGGAGAGGCAGGAAGTAGGACTTGGTGGTAGGAACCTGCTGCTGAAACAGGTTCCCTGGAGAATTCACCTTAGGCTACGTACAAACTGCCTGGCCCCGCCATCCCTTACCTTTCTTGTGCTTCTCTTTCATGACGATCTTCACTGTGGTGCCACCTCCTCCCTTGGGTTTGAAGCTCCTGGGAATGAACTCCAGGGAAGAACTGAGAACAGTGGACGTGGTGGCTCCGGGTGGCTTTCTGCCCATCGCTTCCCCCAAGCACTGATCTTGCGAGTGCCTCTGTGAGCAGTCAGAGAAAAGAAGGGGACTCAGACCCAGGCAGTTGGGTTGTTCTCACTCTAAAGCATGCTGGGAAAAGCCATGCACACCTTCCATCAGGAGTGGAAGGTCCAGAGACCACAGGGATGAGCAATAACCCAAGAGCCATCTCGGTGCTGAGCAGTTTGTGTCAATGCCCCACACTGGTGTCCTCCCTTTGCTGCACGTGGGTCATCCTCCTTGGGGCAGCACCCTTCTCGTCTGACGCTCAACCCCATGCCCTCTGGTGAGGTCCTACATCACTAACACAGGCTGGGAATTGGGCTGGTCTCTTCCAGATGCCTGCTGGAAACTGAGGACTGGCATTTGTGCAACCACACCAGGATGGTAAGGACAGGTTGTATCCTGTCCTCTCACCTGGCTGGCAGCAGGAGGGTTGGTGTGGGGCTGCCAGCCAGCAGGACTAAAATCCCAGGAGCATCCCAGGCTTACAAGAGCAAACTGCTGGGACAAGACAGGCGGCACAAAGGGTCCCCTTGTGTCTATTTTGGAGGTTTTATAAACTTTATAGGTGGTGGAGGTGTGACGCTGGCGTTTCACCCAGCAGTATGGAAAAGGGCAGGGCCAGGAGCTGTAAGTGACCTAATCCCACAGACCTGGCATGGGCCACCCAGCTCTGAAATGTCACCATGATTACACCCTCAGAAGCCAAGGAGTCACTTTTTCCTTGCTGGGGCTGCTGGTACAAACAGCCTGGAGAAAGCACGCTGGTGGCCAGCTCCAGCGCTGGCTGCTCTGTGGGAGCTACGTCTGGGAGGCAGGACACCTTTGAGCCCAGGGCGGAGAGGAGACCCCAGCTCCTGAAGCAAAAGTCCTCAAAGAGAGATTTGGGCCATCTGACTCTATGGATAAGGGTCACGTCTGGCTGTCGGTCACCTCTGAGTCTGTTCTGTCCATGTTCCTCAGGTGTTTTAACCCACTGGCCAACCTCAGCCAGGTTGGCCAACAAGGAGTTGAATTGCCCAAGATTTCTAGTTCCCACAAGTCTTTTTCTTTTCCAAAGATATCAGAGATGCTTCAGAGGAAGAGGACAAGAGTCTGTCTTTGGCAGTCGGAGGTCTCAGCCTATGCTGATAGCCCTCACCCAGAGTCAATTCCAAGACACAGTTCATCTGCAAACAGGTGTCTGTGGTTTTGCTGTCCAAGGAACTGACTGCCCACCTAGACCTGCTGTGGGTCATTTCTTTGTAGAAGACTATGGCCAAGGGCAAATGGCTTGCTTTGAGCTGTTCAACGGGGCTGTGCTAGGAGCAATAACCTGAGGTTTAAAATGCAAACGTCACGTACAACACCTCGGTTTAACTGCAGGGGTTCCTCTTCCGTGGACTTCTCATACGAGCCATCTGCAAGGAAAAAAACATTGTCCTGTGAAATGCTGCAGGGCTGGATGAAGAATTGCTCTCTCTTTGACTGAAAGCAGCTCTCTTCAGGGTGCTGGCCCACCTGTGAGGTCTGGAGAGAGAGGAGCTTTGAATATGCAATTCACATCGCCCAAAGCAAGTGGGAGCCATATCCCAAAAACCCTTTTATCTCCACTGTTAACAATAGTTCCACTCCAAGAAAGACAGGACCATGTAGCTTCTGAAGTTAGATGGCATGAAAACACCACAGAGGTAGAGCATGAGGTGATGGGGATGATCTGGCATTAAAAAGAAAGCCAAAGACATTTCTCACCAAGTCAATGACATGCCCCAGCTGCACCAAAGAAAACTAGGAGAGAGGGACGCAAATTGCAAAAGGGGAGAGTCTTCAGGAGGCACCTGGAGCAGGTCATTCTGTGCCCATGGCCAGGAGACCACCACGGCCTTCCAGCTTCATAAATATTTCTCATCTTAAATGGTCATTTTATGCTGTGGCTGCATTGTCAGCAAGGTGTGAACCCACCTATTCGCTCTTGAGACTGTCTCATCTGGAGACAGGGAGCTTGATTACCTCCTCATCCTCCCAGGTGTGAGCCAGGGGAAAGAGCAACATTTGCAAGAGTTTCTCCCCCATGGCAAGCTGTGGGAGCAAATCTCAGCCATGCAACATTGAGGTGGAAGTGGAGAGGGTTTCCCTGATCGTCCTGGAAACTTCCCTGAAGCAAGAGCAGCATGCACAATCTTTACATGGTCCATACAACCATCTCCATTCTCATGGGTGAGTGGTCTGGAGGACTTTGCCTTCCATGCAGGTCATATCTCTTGCATGATGCACCAGGGGCAGGGCAAAGAGCTCAGCTCTGGCCAGCACATGGGCTGCAGGGAGGCAGGACACAACTAGGTGTGGGAGGGGAAGCATGCCAGAAAAAACCTGAGCCCTCATCTTTTGTTTCCTGGTGCAACCAAGACATAGCAAGTGGCCTGATGTACAGCACAAGCTTCCAAAATCCTGCTAAAGTGGCTTGAAATGGCTCCTGCTAGCTGGTGGCAATGCCTACGTCTCCCAGCCCTCGCTCAGGAGCAGCTCCTGGGCCCTTCATTACCTTTGCAGACCTGGCAGCAGGAAACTGGCACGGTTCGGGGGGTTGGGGGAGAGGAGCACAACAGCTCTGGGCAGGTCACCAAGCCGCAGTAAATCTGGCCTTCCTAGGAGACAGGAGCAAACAACAGCATTGTCAGCGTTATCAAGGTCTGGGGAGGGGTGCTGGTCACCCTGGTTGGGGTGCCAGCACATTGCAGATCTGATATAAATCATAAGTCCCTCAATGGTCCATCCTCAGATACCACCAATCATCTGGCAACTGACGAAAGCCGAAAATCTGCCCCTCTGTACTCTCCATCCTGTGGGTATAGCAGGCTGGACGGTGTCTTCTCCTAACATGGCTGGTGCACCAATTGCCAGTCTGCATGCTCATGAGTGGAGTCGTCTTCCCCAAAAAGGGGGAGGCAGAGCCTTACTCTCAGGCATCGTTAAGTGCTACTGGATCTGAAACAGTTCCAAGTGGCACGAGAACCTTTCCTCTGACATCTCCCAGGACAAGGACCTGGAGGAGAGGTGGAAAGGAGAAGTGTGATGCTGAACCCAGACCCAGGTCCATGCTGCAGCTCTGCCCTCCCTCTGTGTTGGGTTATTCGATCACACCAGAGCCAAGCCCACAAAGACACTGGGTCAAGAGCTGTGGATGGACCTTCAGGTGTAGACCTTCTTCCACTGGCTAGGTGGTTAGTTTGGAAAACCTCATGGCTGTAGTGATTCAAGCTGAGAACAACTGGCCAAGGCCAGTCTTGGTCTCGGTGCATCCCAGTCCCACTTCAGTCAATGGATTTGCACCTGTTTTCTGCAGGGCTGAGTTTCTGCTGCTCTGCAGAACGGTAA